GATATCTTGTTCAAGGCTGAATTCCGCGGCGGAAACCCAAACAAGATCGCCGACGCGAAATGGGTAAGGAAGACGCTGGCGATTGGCCTGTTGGCTCATGCGTTGCTGCGTCTTAGCCATCTGGTCGCGTGCCTTGACAAGTAGCTCTTGCATCCTATGGAAGAAAAGACGATGGTCGTCCCTCTCGGCCGTTCGTGGGATGATCGTGTCCAACGAAGAAGTGACCGTCGAACCGCGCTCGAATTCGAAGGGCGACATCCCGATAGTTGGGTGGATTGACGAGTTGTATGCTAACTCGACATCCCACAGCCGCTCAACCCAATCCTTTTGGCCCTCTCAATTTGGCCATTGGTTTGGGGGTGGCGAGCGGAACTTGGCTTGAGAGATAAGCCCCATCGTTTGATGAGCGCCACCCAAAAATCGGACATGAACCGAGTGTCGCGGTCGCAAACGATTTCCTTGGGGTAACCCTTGGTTCGAATCCAACCGGCGTAAAGAACCTCGACCAACTCCGATGCCTTGGCATGATAGCGGCAAGGCAAAAATATGGCGAGCTTGGTGAGTCGGTCCACCACCGTGAGAATCCCATCCACACCAATCTTGTGCTTGGGGAACGACCCGGTGATGTCCATGGCAATCGCTTCCCTTCAGCGCAAGGGGACCGGTAATGGTCACAACTCGCCGTACAAACGATGGTTGCGGGATTTGCAGCGTCGGCAAACCTCGCATGACTCGCAATAGCGCGTGACGTCGCCGAGAGGGTCGGGCCACCAAAATCACTCACGAAGTCGGGCAATTGTGCGATTGACTCCGCAGTGTCCGGTGGCGGGAGCATCGTGGAACTCACCAACAAGTCGTCTACGCAAGTGAGAGTCACTCGGTACGCAAAGAAGGTCCTTCCCCCGCGTGTGGACAAGCAAGTACCCCTCTTGGATCCGGTAGTGAGAAGGCGCTGGATTAGGAGAGGAGCAATGCGTACTTCTCGCGAAACTCGAGGTCGACTTGGTAGCCGCGGATGAAATGGCGGGACCGTTGGTCACGTGGTGCTTGCATAAACTGCGGCGAGTACGACCATACGCAATTTAACTGCAAGAACCCGAAGGTCTCGCAGAAGATCCCTCCTAAGGGTGGGTATCCTTCTTCTCAGTCTAGGGCCTCTACGAGTTCCAGCTCGGGAAACACTTAGGCCTGGTATAGAAGTTGTAGCTGCTTCTACTCTCATTGAAGCAAGTGATGTACCCTCCCCGTTTCAAGAGTTGGTCGAAGCTATTGACTCCTTAGTCACCCTGCAGGACCCAACTATACTCCGTACGTTGGATGTATCTGAAGCCTTAGAGGACCTTCAAGGTGAGTGGTCGGCAAGGGACCCTCGTGAGTCCTGGGTGGCACTAAGTAGAGGTCCTAGAGGGGAGCACTTCGTTGTGGAAGTTGGTGTGGGTGGTCGCAAGTGGGGCACCTTCGTAGACACTGGCTCCACGCGAAACTTCATAAGTCGCGACTATGTTGATACTATGTTGATAGTCTGCGCCTAAAGGACCGGGTGCAGCGCCGAAGTACACCGGCAGCATCTACTTTTGCCAACAAAAAGCGCATGTTGGTGGAGGACTACGTTAAAGATGTAGTCTGCACTTTCTCCTACCCAGGAGGAGAGATAGTCCATAAGATATCATTCCTGGTGAGCGACGAATTGCCCTTTGAGATGTTCTTGGGTATGTACTACCTCGAGGTTGCCAAGCCCCAGTTTGACTGGGACAAGGTGTTGAAGCACGAGTTGCCTAATGGGAGGACTGCCAGACTGGCAAAGTATAAAGCGAGTAGGTTAATAGACTCCTATGGGTGCTTATGCGCATCTACCTTCTATAATTATTATAAACAGAATCAAGAGGAAGGAATGTACTTAGTCTCTGTAAGGGTTGTCGAGCCCCGGCCCCGGGGCCTCGGCGGGGGTCTGGGGTCCGGGGGTGGGCATCCCCAACCCCGGCTCCGAACACCCCCC